GTTAATAATAATAAAAATAATGTTAATAGTAATAATAAAATTAATAAAAGCAAATATGAAAGTAAAATAAAATATATAAAAAATGAAATAAAGAATAATGGGTCAGGGGGGTGCTGAAGTAAAGCAAGGATTAGGAGTCAGCAAAAAAACACAAGGCCCACTTATTGGAAGCCCAAGCGCCTAGCTGAACAAAAATGAGAAAAATGCTAAAAAATAATGGCAAAAGGTAGCACTGGGTATCGAACCCGTGACCTTCCATACACACGCGCTACCTTTGCCACTAGGGTGGCTGTACATCCGTTAATACAAATGAAACAATAAATACATAAGGTAAAACATCTCCATGACCTGTACTTCGTCTTCAACCTTCAGCCATCCGGACCACCCGTATCTCATTCATTTCTCAACAAAAATAGAAAATGCAAACATGGAATTTGTGCTATTTTTCCTCACGAATCTAACCATATAACTTATGTAAGCTAAAAGTCAAAGATGAAGATTAATTTTGCTGGCCCTAAATTGAAACCTAATTTTTTCAGAAAGTTAAAATCTGAAATTCTCTACATACAATCAATATAAATAAAAACTATGAACATGGTCAGTTTTAGAGAAATGATATCTATATTTTATCTTCACAAATCAGAAACAAATAATGCCTGTATGAAGAGATGGAAGTTGGAAAACTTACCTCTTGCAGCTAGAGTCGTGAATGGAGTTTGAGCAACTTTAGAGATGGTTCGATGATCTGTTTAGCTTGCCTGGACCTCCTTGAGTGTATTCCAACTCTTACTTTACTTTGAAAGTCCCTGAATCTCCCTACTCAAGTCAACCTGCAAGCTTGATATTTGAAAATGGTGGATAGTGATGGAGGGGTTACAGTCTTGAAACAGGAGCCTGGATCACTTGTGTATGATTTATGTAAGGTGTTTGAATGATTAAGAATCAAAATGCATGAGTGGAAATGGAGATGGAGAGTTTTGGCTCAAAACTGTCAAGTTGAGCAGTCTTATGAAGCAAGGGTGTTTGGGAGAGTTTTTAGGATGCTTGAAATCATCCCCTAGCTTGCAATATACTTGTTAATATGTATGGAAAAGATTAGAGCATAAAATCACTCCAGGTTTCTGAGTTATAGGGTTATGGCTCTATAACTTGCTTTTGAAGAAAAGTGAAATGACAAATCTCAAGCATTGTACAAGCATGTTTTGAGCTTTCTTAGGTCTCAGACACATTGCTTTTGGTTTATAAGAGTTATGTGTGCAGAAAGAACGAGTTAGAAGCTCAAGACAAGTTGACTTTGTGATTAAAGCAACTTTTCAAGAATGAAATGGTAGCTTTCTTCCAAAAATGGCAAATTGGCTTGGGCAATGCTTGGAACATTTGGATAATAGCTTAAAAGCAAGTGTAATCTTCTGATTATGGAGAGATCTTGAGGTTTAGAGGCCTGCAAAACAAGATTGTGCAGCATAGGTTTGAAATTGGATTTTTGTTCATCATAAAATTCCCTGTAATTCAAGTGACAAAACACCAACTTCATCTCTTCGATTCTCCCTACTCAAGAATGATCTCAAAGAGTTATTGGATATTTTGGAAATCTTGCAATGTTCTCTACAACCCATATTTGAATTTCTTTTGAATATTCCCCTTGGAACTATGTGAAAATTTTCCATGAAGTTAGGTCAAAAAATATGCCTAACTAGGGAAAAATTTCACTAAGTCTTTTTTAGTTCATGAGCATGTATTCATAAAATTATAACTTGAGATACAATCACTTTTGGAAGAAGTTGTGTGAAGAAAAGTTGTAGATTTCATGGATATATGCAACTTTCATGTTGGAAGTTTCCTTTGAATCATCTTGCATCATAATGAAAAAATTGCTCAAAGTTATGAAAAAATAACAAATTTTTGACACTTAGAAAAATTTCTAAGTTTAGAAATTTTGACTTTTCAAAATGAAATCTTGATTTCTTTATTTTTTGATGAATAAGTTTCCTATTTTGACATGTTTTGATGAATTTTAATCTTTGATACTTGATTTTGACCAAAAAGTCAAAGTTTGACCTTTCAGTGTACAATTGACTTTTAATCAGTTGACTGCAAAATTCATCTGTCAATCCAATGGATTTGCAATGTTTTGAATCATGTCATTAGGTCAAAATGATGAAATTGGACTCTTTAGATCATGCCTTAAACCAATTGACCATTTGCTAGGTCAAAAATCAGAAATTTCCCTTTCCGAGTCAAAACCCTAATTTTGATTATTTTGCCCTTTTGAAGATTTGATCAAATTTCTTGAGGAATTATGATCCAAACTTGATCAAATTATACATATGAGTTTAAAATATTGATGTAGATAAAAAATTATGAGGTTTGACTGTAAATTGGCCATAGTTGACTTTTCCTCAATACAATTGATTTTTAGGTCAACTGCTCAGTTGAGTGATCAAAAATGTGATTCAAAGCTTGCAACTTGACATGAGTAATATTGGGGGTCCATAATGATCATGAAAGTCATATGGGACATTGGAAGTTCAAAAATCCTTGTGCAAACTCAAACCTTAATTTTAGTTATCGGTGCTTGAGGAGGTGTCTTGAGCTGATCAACCCTAATGCAGTCTTGATCCAAAGGAGATCTTGTGAGAAGATTCTTGATAAGTGAGAGGGAAAAATTTGGGGTACAACACTCAATTATGAAGGTTATCTTGTCTTTGTTTGCCTCTAACATAGGTATCTAGTTGTAGCCGAAGTATGCATCCATGAATGATAGAAATTTGTAACCTACTTAATTGCGTAATTGCTTGTCTATTTCCAGGATGGGTAGGAATCTTCAAGGCATTCCCTATTGAGATGAGTGAAATCGACACACATTCTCCACTTCCCCGAAGCTTTCTTGACCAACACATCATTGGAAAACATTCAGTATATCTTACCTCTAAGTTAAAGTTAGCATCTAATAGGCCCTGAACTATCTTTTTGGTTGCTTCGTCCATCTCAGAATATTGCCGTCTCCTTTGTTAAGCCACTTAATAGATATAGGGGTCAATGTTCAATAGGTTACAAGCCACGATAAGGTCTATAACAAGCATCTCTCCAAGATAAACTGCAAAGAGGTTGACATTAGCTTTAAGAAACTCAATGAACCCTTTTTCACCATGGACGGTAATTGAACCAATATTTAAACCAAACATGATGGATTAACGCTTTGACTTCCGTCATTGGGACGAATTCCTTGTTTCGAAGCATTTTGTCTTCTTGCACGTTGAGGTCCATTGTACTGGTGTCTTGACAAGTCTTCTTCCTAGTTCTCTTTGAAGTGGTGACAATCCCAGAAAGGTTCTTTAGTATGGTTTCATGCATGAGGTTGGCTCTGTACATATCAACTGAAATGACAAAATTGTTTTGTCTGCATCTTTGTGATATTTCATCTTCAAATGTGTCATAGAAGCCATTGCATCTAATGTCACGAGGAACGGCGTTCTAAGGATGTCATTGTAGACGCTTTCACAAGGGATCACGAGGAAATGCACATTCACGATCCTCTCGTCCTTCCCTTCATCGAAATAGATTGGCATCTTGATAGATCCGCATGGAAGAGTTGAGGAATCATTGAACACTAACAAATTCCCATCTTTATGTGGCCTCAAATCTCTATCGCATAACTTTGATTCTGATGAAAATTCCAATGTGCATCAGGTCGCGAGAGCTCCTGTCACCAATGAGGATTCCATACACCAAAAGTCTTGCTATGGTGGTGGTTACAACCGCTGGAAGTGTCACATTACGAGTCTCATCCACTTTCTAATTGTCTCGAAACCCTTAAAATAGGTATGTCATCTTCCAGCCTCTTGTTTGTCGTCAACGAGTTAGGGGAGCTTCATGGTGGAGGTTTTTTCTCAATAAACGACCCACCGTCAATTGAATCAACATATAGGAAAGGGAAAGATCTTGAGGTTCGGAAACCTGTTGCATCTTTGGAAACTGGATTGGTCGTCATCGTCTTCTCCAGTAACCTCTTTGTAGCGGTTCATAGTTTTTGACTCAGAGAGATCTAATCATGGAATTCGCATGAATTAGAAGTCGATTCCCACATATGACACTATTTTTCCGTTAAGAAATCATAAATGTATGGTGAAGTAGTGGAATATAGTCTTGGTATAGAGGAGTAAACTTTTAGTACGACGGAGAGGGTGTGGACCTGCAAAGTTAGCATTTCAATGCCCAAGTCAGTAAATAAGTGACAAAAGAGTAAAATAAATTATGATTAGAACATGCCTCAGGTCTCGCATGAGATACCTTATATACGAGAGATGATTAGAGATGCACCATGCTTCTCGACGTAGAACGTGGGGAACCATTAAATAATATCCAATAATAAATAATCGTCAGTTGCATGAATCAAGTACGAGTTTCAAGGTTGTGGGTGCATTGTACCTTCAATGTCTTATGCTTTTAGATTGATGAACAAGTTTTCTGTTATTGAACTTCTTGTCAGTCGAAACAGAGTTTATCATGTAAAAAATGTTTTTGACAAATGTTTATATGTAGTAATTTGGTTTACACTTAAATATCTTAGATTAGATAGGTCGATTATTTAATAAAATTTTAAAAATATATATAAATAATGATTTGAGAGGGTAATTGATTGTGATAAATAATGAATCTCTAACCATTTGTTTAAGATATACGAATCTCTTACTCCATTTAATATAATCAAAAGGAAAAAGAAACCTAAACTTCTATGTATTTGAGGGTAGAGAAAGACAAAACTATAAACTAGGGAAGAATGCAAGTAGCAACATTCCAAAAGCATTAAAGTCAATGAAAAACTAGATCATGAAAAAGATAACTAATCACATGGCTCAACAATATGGCCCAAAATTTTCATCCAATAATGATGACAAATAATATTAACCTTTCTAAACATTTATTACAACATAAAAATGTAAAGAAAAAAATTCATCATAAGATAACTTTGCCTTCTCAGAAGTCATTTTTTGCTTTTGTCAATAATCTGTGCAAGAAACAACGAAATTTTAAAACGAGTAAATATGAATCAAAACATGAAAGAATAAAACATAAACTTAGAACCTCATAAATAAACAATTATTTCAGCATATAACTCATACCACTGTGTTTCTTTCTCAAACTCCTAGCAAATAACAAGAATATAACTAGAAAAGCCACTCCAGCAATTCCTCCTAGTATTATAGCAGCTGTTTTCCCTGGATTTTGCCCTGTCATTGCATCAAATCATATTGAATCACCGACAGACGCGAACACTTGACACAATACTAGCACTGTAACACTGACACATTGATACATATAATAATTTTAAAAAAGAAAAAAGTAAATATAATTATATGTGTTGGTGTCGCGACACGAACACTTTCAATCTGAAGTGTCAATTACCCGAAGAAATTGAAGAGTATGAAGATTGAGATGATCTAGATGGAACTCCATTAGGATAATAGCTAAAACTAACAAAACACTTGTGCAAAAAGACTTGGCCTGAAATTGATGAACCACATTCAACTTGAGCTCTCTGAACAGCATTTTTCACACACTGTCCACAATCAGAGTCACCAACATCACCTTCACATTGTCCCAAAACATAAAAAGCCATATAGCTAGTTGTATAAAAACCATGACCACTAGCCACACCATTTTCCATCACAGAAAAAGCAGTGTCTCTCCTCTCTCCAAACCCACTTCCAGCAACATTAGTTGCACCACAAGTCTTGTACAGCATCTGCATACCTGATATTTGAGCATAACCAACAACTTCATAGAGTAGATAGCAACCTAGTAGTTGAACTCTTGCTGCTGTGGTTTTGCCACATAGTTTGTTGGACAAGATTGGAAGCTTGTTTACACAGCTGTAGCAATCCGAATTTGTGAGATCTCCTCTGCATTGAAACAAGCCTGTTATACTGTTTTGGCCACTGCCGGATGTGGTTTTGTAGAATTTTGTTTTGGTGGATTGTGAAACTAGTGAACCCAAGAGTGTAGAAAGTGCTTGGGAGTATAATCCATTCGGATCTGTGAATGTTTCTTTTGAACAACCTTTGTAGATCAATGAAGTGTAATCTGATGAAGATTCTGCAAAATGTGGTTGGTTTAGATTTGTAAACAAGGCTAGAATCAAAGAAAGAAATATAGGTTTTTTCATTCTGGCTCTGTGGTGGTGAGAAGATGAGTAGATGTGGAGATAGTGAGTAGTTACTATTTATATGTCTTTAGAATGAGTTTCATGTTATGGTTTTAGAAATGGTGTCCTATTTTGCTGTAAAAAAGTTGTAATGGTTTTTTACTCTAAACAGTGTATGAATGAGTGAATGAAGTGAAAGAAAACAGAGCTAGTGGAGGAGCCTTATGAGGAGAGCGTGTGGATAATTTATATAGTTTTGAATTTGACGGTTGGCATGATGCGACACCTACAACTCATAAACATAGGGAAAAAAATAGAATTGTCACGTCTAAAACAAAGAAAGTCCAATTAGAGCTTATAAGGAATGACTTTTTTTTTATAGGTCTATTTTATGAAATTGAATTAGATTTAACTCAATAATTAATGATACTCGGCAATACCCATAATAATTTCTATAATATGAGTTATATTCAACAATTTCCACATTGACGAATATCACACCTAAGAAAATTTTATGCATTACAATTCTTCTTGGCAACTGAGGAGGTACACCTCCTTTTTAACATTGAGAAACATGTAATAAGTCCAAGTAATGTCTGAACTTGTCATTGATTATTGGTTTGGTCAACATATCAGTTATATTCTCTGAAATATGAACATTTTCAAGTAATATCAGTACAGGTGCAAGTAACTCTACGATATTATGAAACCTCGCTTCAATATGCTGAGTATTTACATGATGCACCTGATTGTTTGTCAAATAAACGATACTTTAACTATCATTATGCAACCGAACTCCTTATTACTTAACACCCAATTCTCTCGCCAAACATGTAAGCCATAAGGCTTCTTTGGAAACTTCATTTGTCATTATGTACTCTACTAAAGTAAAGACATACTTTGTTGTAGATCTCTTATCATTCATATCACTTGCATAGTCTGAATCAACATATACTACAACTGAAGGATCGTCATGTTCATTGTTAAACATGATACCATAACTCGTAATACCTTTCAAAAACTTGAAAATCCACTTGTGTACTCCCCAAAGGTGTTTTCCTAATTTAGACATAAACTTACAAATTTGACTTACAACTTGTGCCAAATCTAGTCTAGTGCAAACCATAGCATACATTAAACACACAACAATACTGACATAAGGACCTTTAATGTATACTCAGCTTTTGCATATGTCTTTGTACACTAATCCAATGAGAGCTTAAAGTTATTCACCAATGGGATACTCACAACCTTCAAAGTTCTCATGTCAAACTTGTCTAGGACCTTTTTAACATAGCTTTTCTAAGAGAGACATAATTTTCTAACACTCATATCCATGTGAATTTTTATACCAAGAATCTTCTTAGCAGTATCTAAGTTTTTCATGTCAAACTCTTTTTCCAACATATTTTTTAGTTCATTTACATCATGTAAATGATTATAAACAATTAACATACTATCAACATACAACAATAGGAAAATAAAAGAGTCATCATCAATACTCTTAGCATAAACACAATGATTATACTGACACCTTTTGTAGTCAATCTAAAGCATGTATGAATCAAAATGTTTGTACCATTGCCTTAGAGACTGCCTTAAACCATACACAAGCCTCTCATTACTCCATGTGAATTTGTTCATCTAGATTACCATGAAAAACTATTGTCTTCGCATCCATCTGGTTTAAACACATGTCTCAGCTGGAGAAAAAATCTCATCATAGTAAATCCCCTTCTATTGTAAGTGTCTTACTCTAGTTTCATTGAACCCCTTTTATTACTCCATGTAAATTTGTTCATCTATATTACCGTGAAAAAAAAAATTTGTTCACATCCATCTACCTAAATGCATGTCTCAACTGGAGAGAAATATCATCGTAATAAATCTCTTCTGTTGTGAGTACCTATTTGCTACAAGACAAGCCTCTAATGTTTTCCCTTTTTCTATTATTGTTGGTTTTATCTTGAAACCCCACTTATAACTGATGGCGCTTTTTTCATTAAGAAGTTGAACAAGCTCTCATGTCTGATTTTTCTTCAAGGACTCTATCTAATTCACCATTGCACACATCCACTTATATTTCTCCTATCTAGTTATAGTCTCTCGAAAATTATAAGGGTTGTTAGACGAAGGAAACTTATATAGAGGGGGGTGAATAGATCCCAGGTTAAAAATTTCTTTTGAAAAATTAGTTTTGAAAACTTTGTTAACTATGGAAAGCGGAAAACACCTAGATCAAATATCGTCTAATTCGAAACGTTATTGGAAAACCTGTGTTGTACTCCAAAATTTACCCTCCCATTTTTTATTCAAGACATACTCTTAGGGTTCTCAATTGCTCAAGGCTACTCAAGAATTGATAAGATGAACCCTCCTCCTAAGCAAGGGTCTTCAACTAGGGTTTGGTGCTTCTCAAATAAAATTGGTATACAAGGGTCTCAATTGACTTTCATGGTTCATCATAGGTCCTAAATAATGCTTATGTCAAGTTTCAAGTCTTGCATCACATGTTTGCTCAGTCAATTGCTCAGATGATTGAAAATTAATTGTATTGGGTAAAAAGTCAATTGTGGTCAACATACATTCAAACTTCAAGATTTTTTGTCGACATCAACATTTTGAGGTGATGTTAATCATTTAATCAAGGGTTGATCATGATTCCTCGAGGAAAGCCCTCAAATTATCAAAGGTCAAAAATTGCCAAATTTGGGTTTTGATTGAAGATGACTGATCATTGACTTTTGCCTAGTGCATGACCTAATGGCTTGAAGCGTGATCTAAAGGGCTCAAATACAACATCTTGACCTAATTATATGGCTCAAGACATTTCCAAAGATACAAGTGATTGATAGTTGAAGAATTGAATCAAATAGATGAAAAGTCAACAGTCACACAAAGTCAAACTTTAACTTTTTGGTCAACATTGGAATTCAAAAATAAAAAATCATCAAGATATTCAAAACTATCAAACTTTTTCATCAAGAATCAAGAAAGTCAACAAAAGTCAGAGTTGAAGATTTTCAAACACTTAGAAAAAACTCAAGTGTTTTGTACCTAAAAAAAACCCTAACTTCACAAGCAAGTTTCCTCAAGATACAAGTTGATTCAAGGAAAACTTTCAACATGAAAGTTGTAGGGATTAATGAATCCTACAAATTTGTTAATGTGGAACGATCCTCAAAAAGTGCTTAATTTAAGAGATATGAGCCCATGAAGTTGTGATATTTTTATCCAACACTTACAAAAAAAATCAACAAGTTTTGATCAATTTTTTATCCCAACTTTTTGGCCAATTTCCACCAAGTTCACATTTGATTTAGCCAAAGTGGTCAACATGAAAGTTGTAGATAATGTTTCAAGCTTTCCAAAATGTCCAAGAACACAAATTTATCATGCTTGAGCTAGAAGTTTTGAAGAGATGAAGATGGCAAGTCAAACTTGATTTATAGGTCATTTTTTTGATGAACTCATAATCAAATCTCACGGCCATGCCTTGTAATCTCACTTTGCAAGCCTATAAACCTCCAAATCTATCCATAATCATAAGATTGCGCACACTTTTGAACCATTATCCAAGTGATTCAATCTTTATCCAAACTTACTTGCCATTTAAGGGAGAAAGGTCACACTTCCATTCTAGTAAAGCATGCTTTAATCACAAAATTCACTCCTTGAGCCTCTAACTTAATTCATTTGCACACACTCAACCTAAATACTCAGAAGTAATATATTTAATCCTGTCAACCACCCTATAGGAGTTGTACCATGCCTTAGCACTATGATTTTGCAAGAAACTTCAAAGTTCACTTCCAACCAAGCCATAACTTGTTATCTCAAGATTCTGTTTACTTAAAGTTGTCAAACTTCTTGCCTATAAATAAAGAGGTCATTTGCAAGCCAAAGCATGAATTCACAAGCCCTCAAACACCCTCAAATTCTCTCAAACTCAGAACCACTAAGAAACCACCATTGTTGCACATTTGGAGCTTCCAACACCCAACTCTCAATCCACTCGTGTGTTTTCTCTTTTTATTATTCAAACATCATCTATACATCATATATAACTCATCCATACCCTTGTTACACTTTTGTAACATCATCATCACCAATCCTCCAAACTCCAAAATCGTGGCCTGCAACTTGACTTGGCTAGAGCATTTCAGCAACTTTCAAAGCAAAGTAGGCCTTGGAACACGTTCAGGGAGGTCTAAGGAAGCTTTTGTCATCATTTATTTGCACTTAGAAGCATCCATACACGTTCTGAGCTTTCACTTCAAGAGGTAAGTTTTCCAAACTTTTAAATCCTTATACACGCATCATTTGCCTTCGATTTCAAAAGATAAAATGGAGATATGATTGCCCTAAAACTAACCATGTCCTTAGTTTTCATTTATGTCGACTGTGTGATAAGAATTTTGGAATTGAGTTTTCTGAAATATTAGGTTTTTAGTTTGGTACCAAATAAAATTCGCGCTCATCTTTAACCTATAGCTTTCGTAATTTATATGGTTGCATTCCTTGGAAAAAAAACAAGCAAGTTTGGTTTTGGAAGTTTTCAATTTGGTTGAGAAATGAGCATTTTACAAAATAAAAAATGGTGAAACTATGTTGTTGTCCGTGAGCGCGCAAGGAAGAAGAAGGTGGTGTGCTAGCATTTTCAAATTTTTACATCCAGGTTTATAATATATTTATTGGGTGTTGTTTCATAACCGGATGAAACAGCCACCCCAGTGGCAAGCGTGTGTGTGTAAGGCGTTAGTATACCAAGGCAGGGGTTTGATCCCTGCCTCTGGAATTTTATTTTCTAACATTTCTCTTGCAGATTCCATGTTATACAATCCAATGCACGCACCATGCATCTTCATATCTTGATCACCAGATCTCAACCATCCTGATTCGACGTTCCCAAATCAGCATGTCTATGGTGCACTCCAATGAATTGTCCACACATGATCATCACAGGCGCCTGGGCTCCTTGAGTTGGGCTTAGACTTTTGCTTCCTTCTCACCCCCATTTT